ACACACCATGAACACACCATGAACACACCATGAACACACCATGAACACACCATGAACACATCATGAACACACCATGAACACACCATGAACACGCCATGAACACACCATGAACACACATGAACACACATGAACACATCATGAACACATCATGAACACATCATGAACACACCATGAACACACCATGAACACGCCATGGACACACCATGAACACGCCATGAACACACATGAACACACATGAACACATCATGAACACACCATGAACACACCATGAACACACCTTTCATTAAAAACACTTTGTGTTTGACAGCAGTGAGGTCAACTTATCATCTGTGTTCTGACACAGTTTGTTGCTAATTGGGTCAAGAAGGTCAGAGATGGAGCTTTCCAAGCCAAAAGGTCACTTCCTGTTGTCAGGGGGCGGGGCTGTGATGAGGTCATATGAACACATGGTATGGTCAGGCATGCAGCATGGATGACTCAGACCAGGTTTGGTGTATTTTAGCCTCTGTGTGTTAAAGTTGCAGCTTTGTGAGTTTGTAATGAACGGACGGACGCAGAGCAGTTCTAAGTCCTGGGTCTGGAGGTCAAACAGGAGCAGAACTCCAGCTGAGTTTCACAGACCAGAACTGTTCTGCAGCATGTTTTCATTCTTCATAACACACAGGTATATTAATGGGTTGGCTTCAAACCTAGGTCAAACCAGTCCAAACTTAAGCTTATTTTTGTTTTTTTCATTAAACAAATCTCTAAATCTTTTGCCATCCTGACAATTAATGGACTGCCAGCATTAATTCCTTGTCTTTCAGATGAAATTTGCATTCACCAATTTTGTCTTCACTACTAATGTTTTCATGGTTTGCAYCCAATCCTACAATCACTGCACACTGACTGGATCTAAAATGGTTCCACATGGTACTCTAATGTGAACATTACTGATTCATAGAAATCCCTTAATGAGGAAGCCCAGCTTCAAAAATCGCTCAGCCTTTTTTTTTTTTGACAACTAATGATCAATATTAAATGCCACTGAAGGTTCAAATATTGTACTTTTTGATGCCACTGAAGGCCTGAAATTTTTCAAAAACMCTTTAATGACTTCCAAAGATTTTCAATGCCCCACAGAACCCTGTTAACATATTTTTTCTTTTTTTTTGTTGAACTCTAAAGAATACATGCCAGTAAATAAAGACAAAGTTATCACAATATGACAACCCAAAAAACTATTATTCAGCAATGTCCATTTATATAATTTAAAAAAATTGTGTTTTCTTTGCTAAAAAAGTGAATTAGYATTAACGTTCACCACTTAGTTCAATGTTTTTAAAATACATTGAACTAAATAAAAAGAATCAAAGTGACAAAAAAAGGGTAATTAGATTAATAAATAATGCTGGTTTTTTGATTCCACAAATCCACTATTCTTAAAATCTTCTGCTTTAAAATTTACTGACAGTGTATTTAAAACACTGGAGTTAATATATCGAGTAAGAATAAATGGTCTTCCTGACGGTATTAAAAGATTTTTTAAGTTACGGGAAAATAATTATAATTTAAGGGGTTCTTTATTTTTGAAGTACATAAAGTAAGAACAAATATCAAATACAGGTGTGTTTCAGTATTGGGTGTTAAACTGTGGAATAATTTAAATGACGAAATTAAGTTTATTGACTCTCTTTTAAGTTTCAAAATGAAGTTAAAAAGTAAATTAATTATGAGTTATGGTTTATAGTAGACAGTTGTGATGATGGTAATATATTACATATTTGTTTTGCATGTGCGGACAATAATAATGATATTGTTGATAAAAAACAGTATTAATCATTTGCATATAACCAGGATGTAGCTGAAGTATATGTGTTTTTTTKTGTGTATTTTGTTTTGGGGAATCCATTATGAATTGTAAGGTGAGGCAAAACAAGCCATTGGCTTCTGCCTATTTGGTCATATAGGGTTAAAGTTTTGCTTGTTTTTGTGTTGAATGTTCTTTCATATAACCAAATAAATTCATTCATTCATTCATTCGTTCAAAGTGATGCATGTTGGCAGGTAAGAACTGTAATTTTGACAGCTATAATGGGTGTACTGCAGCTGCTACTTGAATGCCTACCTCAGCAAAAAATAAAAACCTATTTATTGGGTTTTAGGTGTTGGGCTTAAAATTGTTCACAATGTACTACATTGACTAACTTGGGCAGGCCTYTGATGCAGGCAGCCAAATCCTTGGTCATGAAACCAGCCTCAATGGTCTCAATGCAAACGGCCTCCAGAGCCTCAGAAAAGAACCGCAGCTCGGCGTTGTTGTCCAGCTTGGCCCGGTGCAGCAGACCCCGCGTCCACGCAAAGATGGAGGCTGAAGCAAACACATGTACAGATTTGTTTTGATTTAAGAAATGAGTCCATTTATACAAAATAAACCTTCCAAGCCTTGAGCTTTCAGGAACACATGATAAGCTTCATCATACCTATGGGGTTGGTGGAAGTTTCTTTTCCCTGCTGGTGCTGTCTGTAGTGGCGTGTCACTGTGCCGTGTGCAGCTTCGGACTCCACTGTGCGTCCATCAGGACACACCAGCACACTGGTCATCATGCCCAGAGAACCGTAACCTGAAAGCAGTCACCCAACATCACGTTGCATCCTGAAACATGTKATCATGAGCATCATACAATGTGTGTTTGTTTCACAAACCTTGTGCCACAGAGTCAGACTGCACATCCCCATCATAGTTCTTACAGGCCCAAATGAAGCCTCCCTCGGATTTCATGGCCTGAGCCACCATATCATCTATGAGCCGGTGCTCGTACCAGATTCCTTTGGCCTCAAACTGAGCTCGATATTCCCTGATAGATGCAAGACAACACTTTTAAGTTCTACTCTTCATYTGGTACAACTTGAGTAAGGGTGTGTCAGTAGATATGAAGGGTCTTACTTCTCGTAGATTTCCTGGAAGATGTCTTTGAAACGACCATCATACTTTTTCAAGATAGTGTTCTTTGTGCTGAGGTACAGAGGCCAGCCTTTGGACAGAGCCACCTGGAAGGAGCTGTGGGCAAAGTCCCTGATGGACCTATCAGTGTTGTACATCCCCAGGGCCACACCACCTGTGCCTGGACCAKGAGATCAACACAAGTTCTTCAGACAGGAACTTTAATAACAGAAGCAGACCAATAAAYATGATGCACATTTTTAAACATGCTTAGTGACATCTTATTTTGAAACAAAATATATCAAAGCCTAGACAATGAAAACAACAGCAAAGCTTAAAAATCTCTTTAAATGATAGGCTTCTTCAGTTTCATTGTAATACAGACCACTACAGAAGATCATACTGCCCCCAGCCATCAGCATCTACAATAACTCTTTAGTTAAATGAGTTACAACAACACCTAATTTCCCTCTGGGATCAAGAAAGTATTTTTGAATTGAATTGAATTAAATCTTACCCTCAAACTCATGGATAACATATTTGACTGATTCTCCATTGGTGGGAGTGTAGATCATCTCCACCTTTCCAGGGCCTGGCACCACAAAGTCAGTGGCCTTGTACTGTAGACAGGAGAAAATGTTAATACTAGAAAACAACTTACTTCCTGTACTCCACCATGGACCTGGGATTTTTCAAATCTAATCTGAAAACTATTTTATTCAGACAAGCTTTTCTTATTTAGTGGCATTTGTACTTTTTTATTATTTGTTTTAACTTTAGAATTGTGAAACACTTTGTGAAACTTTTTGGCTGTTGTAAAGTGTCTGCCCGCCCACCCCCCTGCCTGCCTCAGGTCTTATGAAGTTTTTCAGCCAATAATGGTGTCAAAGTTCACAGTGACCACAACAATCAACAATCTTAACAACTGACCCCAACACATTAGCAGGAGTCAACAGGCATAGTATTTATCACATACTCCTATGACATCCATTATGTAACCAGCAGACTTCTGACTTTTCACCTGGACTTCAGTTTAACAATAGAACTGTTGACTTTGCCATTGAGCTAACCTGAGATTTAGTGCTGTCAAGGCTAAAGAGGCAGGTCCAAAGAGCAGCTGAGGAAACAGAATTATTGACCGTGTATCTCTTAACGTCCTGTGAATGAACTCACACGAGTTGAAAGATAAAGTACCCAGATTTGCTTTAACAGAAACCTTTCCTTTTGGGCGGCACGGTGGCTCAGTTGGTAGAGTGGATGCCTGTCAGCAAGAAGGTCGCCAGTTCAAATACCGGCCCGAAGAACTTTCTAGGTAGAGTTTGCATGTTCTCTCCGTGCATGCGTGGGTACTCTTGCTTCCTCTCACAGGCCAAAAACATGACTGTTAGATTAACTGATTAATGTAAATAGTGCCTAGGTGAGAGTGAATGGTTGTTTGTCWCTGTGGGCCTTTCCCAATCAGTGGCTACACCCTCACAGTCCTTGTAGTTACAGGTTGTCTCTGAACAAGTGGTTTATATTCTGAGCAGAGATAAACAAGGTTGTGATCTGAATCACCAAGAGGAGGTCTTGCATTGGCGATATATGAATCCTTAACTTTTGTGTAAAACAAATCCAATGTCTTGTTTTCTCTGGTAGAACAGCTGATAAACTGTTGAACCGTTGGCAGTGTAGCAGAGAGTAAGGCATGATTAAAACCACCAGATATTGCCAAAAAATGCTTTTGGGTGTTGTGTCTGTATCACAGCAACAACGGAACTGATGATTTTACATGCATTGTCGGCAACAGCTGAGGGTGGAATGTAAACAGCTGCCAAAATAACACTGGTGAACTCTTGGTAAATAATATGGATGGAAACTTACTGCCAAGAGTTCTATGTTTGGACTGCAATAATGACACTTCACAGTACCATGTCCTAGATCAGTGGTTCTCAACCTGAGGGGGGCGCTAGAGAGCACAAGGGGATGGGGGGGGGGTGTCATAATGTGCCTGCTCAGAGGTCAGGGGTCGACATAACCATTGTTTAGGTTGTCTGAGACAACATATTTTAGTTTCGGACAACCAGATCCCGCCTCCTGGTTGTAAAGTTCTCCTCCGCAATGGGTGACCATTATTTGTAAAAACGAAAGGAAAAAAAATGCCCAGATTTTAAACTGACGGTTCTTTCAACCAATAGAGAGAACCACAGTCAAAATTTTAACCAATCAGATCAGAGCAGGGCGAGTCAAGCTGTCTGACTTACAGCCTATGTGCAGAGCCTCGAGTAACTCCTCAAAGGCTGCCCGCGCAGTGCACTTCAGTTTGTTCATCAAGCTTTTGCTCTCCTATTTACAACATTTTATAAGTTATAAAGTGTACTGTCACATGTCATTTTGGAGAAAACTATAACATCATAAGCACCTCCACCTTTGGCGATGGTGCCCTGCACGAGCACCCAAAGCACAACTGAGACTTCAGGGCAGGTGCTGGCTCCCGGGAATACTCTTAAGGGCTCGACACACGGGCAGCGACAAACTACAGCGATTAAAGGGCTCGACACACRGGSAGCGACAAACTACAGCGATTAAAGGGCTCGACACACGGGCAGCGACAAACTACAGCGATTAACGGCTGTCATCGCAGCCAGGGTGAAACCCGACACACGGGACGCGATGGTGACAGCAGCGTTGCGAATCGCGCTCTCAGGCCACTTGTCTTCACAAAATTTGATTGGTTCTTGACTCTGAAGGCGGGTGTGCATTACGGACGTGTAAACTAAACAAATCTTGCGATGCTAGTGATATTGAAAACAAACACACATCAAGATACAGTTTTATGAGGAAAAACTTACCATAAACTTCACCCTGGTGCCAATAAATTCCCACAAAGCTTTTTAGTAATCACTTGGTGAAAGTGTTAGCTAACGGCAGTGTGTAGCATACTCTCCTCTCATTGGTCAGTCAATGAAACCCTCACTGACTGGTTGTACGCTAAGCGACAGCGAGAAAAGTTGAACATTTTTCAACTTTCATATGTTGCGTCGCAAGCTCGCGTGTGCACGTGTACGTGTGCAAAATTTCACATGCACTATTTTCGCCGGTCGCTTAGCTAGAGGAGGGCAAGCGATTGTCGCCTTACCGCACAGGCTCCATAGGAAATGAATGGAGAGCGAGCGACGTCGCCTCCCGTGTGTCGAGCCCTTTAGTGTTTTCTGGACTATTTTTTCACCGAGGATTAGATAAATAAAATTTCTGTAAGCACCTCGCAGTATTTCCACTGTAACACCAGGTCACATGCACAAGAAAACCGTGAGAGATCACTTGACCAGTGTTTACAAAGCAAAGACTCAGAGGCAGGTGGACCTCATCTCCACCCACAGCRCAGCTCCAACCTGTGATAAATGTAAGTCAGTAATAATGAAAAATAACTGGTATTAAATGACGACATTAGCGGCGATTAAAGTGGATGAATTTCTGGACTYGTGGCTTAACGCAGAGACAAAATAAAGCMTGCATTTGCTCCAGCCGTGGTTTGTATGGGTGTCATTCTTCCAATTAATATTCAAGTCTTATTTGGTATATATTCCTGGTCCTCTACACACACCGAAGTGTATGAACACGATGGTATCTTTTCACCAGTTTAAAGTCTTCACTCTGATGTTCATTCGGTAAAAGCAAGTTACAATTTATAGTCATTTTTAAGTCCTTTTGTACACCTCTGGGCTGGGCTGCTTGTGACTGAAAAGTTGCATGCTGTGTATTTAATACATGGTTAATTGTGCCAACTTCACAGCTCTATCTAAAGAAAACACAAGGAGAAGCTATGGACTCTAAACAATTATAGATCCAGTAATTTTATCACATGAGGCGCATCTTCATGAGAAACCTGTAAAGTATGAGTCTGCAGGTTTCTGGATTCTCAATCAGAAACTCAAAAAACATGTATTGATGGTTAAAATCTTAATTTTATGGTTATAAGTTGTGGATGAACCAATAGCAGAAAGACAATGAATATGTCCATTTGTGATTGACAACTAATGTGAAAAGTACTCTGCTACTTCGAGCATTTTTTAGAAAATTTAAAAAATTTAAAGTTTATTTTTTTARAAAATGCAACATAAAACAAAACCTGGAAACACAATTTTTCCAGACTTGCCCAAACTTGGAAAACTCTAAARTTTCAGTACATACTTTTCAAGACATGGTAACTCTGTTAAAAGCTTCCCCTTGCCTTTAGTGGAATTAAATAAAAATTCTGACATTTTCCATGCCATCGTCTCCATACACTGCAGGATTTTGTTACCTGATCTCCATGTGCATGCCTGCCAATTATTATGGGCTTCACCCAGCCAGGCACCAGACGAGGGATGTTCTTACAGATGATGGCCTCCCTGAACACCGTGCCTCCAAGGATGTTTCGAATGGTTCCATTAGGTGAACGCCACATGTTCTTGAGCTTGAACTCRTCCATGCGCTTCTCATCTGGTGTGATGGTGGCACATTTGATGCCTACATTGTAACGCCGAACTGCTTCTGCTGCATCAACTGTCACCTTGTCGTCTGTTGCATCTCGGTTCTCCATGCCAAGATCAAAACTGCGCAGGAGGAAATGGATACAAGCAAGCATAAAGTTCATCAAAGTTTAAGAAAGATTTTGAGAATGACATATTTGTTTTACAAGGTTTGTTGCTTTGGTGTTTTTGTATAATTTTATAACATTTTTCTATAGTTTACTAAACACTAATCACAAGCAATTTGTAATTTATAGGGCTGTGAAATTAATCGAGTTAACTCATATTCATTAATTTTAGTGCTGGGCATAGATTAAACATTTTAATCGCGATTAA